ACAAATTCCTTTAAATTAAACTCACCACCACGATTTGTACGTAGAACCTTTATAGATCTGCCAACCTCATTCTTAGCCAAGACTTTGAAATTTTTAGAGGCTGCTAAGGCTTCTGACTTGGTTTGCAAAAAATACACCCATGTTTTGTGATTGTAATCATCAACAAAGGTAATAAAGTATTGTTTACCTCCATTGGATGTATGGGTCCACACAGATCAGAATGAACCAGATTTAGCACTTGCTTTGCTCTCCAAGATCTATCTTTAGGAAAGCTGTCACGATGCTGTTTACTGACAACGCAGATTTCACAAATTTTTGAAGGAGAATCAAAATGAGGAAGACCATTTACCATCTTCTTCTGTTGCAAAGCTTTCAACCCACCAAAATAAAGATGTCCAAATCGGCAATGCCATAACCAAGCTGTGTCCTTTAATCTGGCAGATAAACATGACAGATTTGTGGTCTGCAAGTATAATGGAAACAACCTATTTCCCATCATCTTGACCTTTGCAATCAAACCAAGTTTTGAATCACGAATTTGGCAAACTCCATCTTTAATAAGGATTTCATATCCTTTTTCCTAAAGCTGTCCCAGACTAAGCAGATTCGACTTCAAATCTGGTACATACAAAACATTAGAAATAGTCTGAATTGAGTTGTTTTTGGCACGAATGGTTACCTTTCCCCTTCCCTTGACTGTAATAGTGGAATTATCACCAAATTTCACCTTGTCTTGACAAGACTCATCCAAATCTGAAAATGCAGATTTGTCTCCACACATGTGATTGCTGCAACCAGTATCCAGATACCACACATTCTTCTTGCTGACTTCTTTAGGATGACAGACCATGAATAGAGAGGAATCGTCATTCTTCTCATTGTGTTCTGCAAAATTGGAACTTTCTCCTCTATTAAGATTAGCACGGCACTTAGAACAATAATGGCCATACTTATGACATCTGAAGCATTCAATATTTGCCTTTCCTGCAGATTTGGATCTGTTATCTGCAGCTTGATAATTTTTGTTCTGCCACCTCTAAATTCCAGTAGCTGAACTTTCCTCCAATCTGTCAGATTTCGGTCTGCCAGATCTTGGTCTGCCTTTCCAGTTTTCTTTTCCTCGACCTATAGCCCTTGAATTAACTGTGGTCTGCAAGGCTTGTGTCTGCGAAATCTGCATTGCTTGCTCTTGCTTGTCTTGGCGATTTATCTTCCGCTCATGAATTAACAATGAGTTCTGCAACTCATCAAGAGAAAGTGTCTCAATATCATTTGACCCCTCAATTGAACAAACAACATAATTGAATTTTGTTGTCATAGACCGAAGGATTTTCTCAACTATAGCAACATCCTCCAGATTTTCACCATGGATCCTCATCTTGTTTGCAATAGCCATCATCCTTGCAAAATAATCATCTACAGATTCACCAATTTGCATCTGTAGAACTTCGAATTCCGCCCGCAAAGCCTGGCGCTGTTGTCGCCTTGCTCTTTCATTCCCCTGGTACTTCTTTTTCATGGAATCCCAAATATTCTTGGAAGTAGACTTGTTAAGAATTGTTTCCAAGATAGCCTGATCTATGGCTTGGAACAAATAGTTGTTAGCCTTGAGATCCTTCAATTTTTCCTTCTCAATTTCTGCCCTCTGTGCATCATTTGCACCTGCCGCTAGTTCTGGAACTCCAGCTTCAACAACAGTCCAATACTCTTTGGACTGGAGAAAATTCTCCATCAACATACTCCAATGGTCGTAGTGATGACCATCAAAACGAGGGATTGAGGGCTGGACATAATTCTCGGAAGCCATGGAATTTTTTCGGGAATAGGCTCTGATACCAAATGTTAAAAAATCAATGATTCCCGAGAAGAAGAAGATGAAATGAAAAACTGAATCTCTCATTAACTGAAAATAATCTAGCCTTTAAATAGGATTTACAAGATAATATTATCTAAAAAGATAACTAACCAATCTTATCTAATCTAATTTAAATGATAACAACTTAAAACAAATAAATAACTTAAACTTCCTAAAATATAGAGATAATGGCTAAATAATAGGATATAATTTCCATCACATTGGTTTAAAAAAAAAAAGAGAGAAAAGAAAAGAAAAGAAGAAGCTACCAAGCACGGCCACCATTAAAATAGTAAAAGGAAGTTACCAAGCACGTCCCAAGCACATTTGGCGCGATAATAGGCACCGTTGATGGTGCAAGCCTCAATCCAATGGTTATTATTGCAACGATGCTCTTTATATGCAGCGCCTAGGTCCTACTCATTATATCCGAAGCCAACACACGCTGCCATCGTCTCTGCTCTCTAGTACTGCTCCAGATCGTAGTCCATCTCTTCCTAGTGTCGTCATGGGTACTGATCCTCCAAAACCAAAGCAATTTCTGCTCCGATTTCGTTTTGTTTTGCATATATATATTTTTGGATCTGGGTTTTTTTATTTGTTCTTGAATTCTACAGGTTGTGGTAAGAAGATCGTCAAGATCGGAGTCAATGGTAATATTCTGATGTCCACGTTGCTCAATTTGGTTCAATTTTGAGTTAGGTTCTAGAACAACAAGACTTGAAATGTGTTTGCAGGATCTCGAGATGTAGGCTTTCAGATCATCAAGAATCTCCTTTTGCAAGACAACAACAATGCGGAGCTTGAGCTTGTTGCTATTAACGACCCTTCCAACTCCATCGAGTCCATCGTGAGTAAAATCCGTCGTTTAGTTTCGATTTTGATTCTTAGTTTAGGTGATTTATAGAGATTTTGCTTTCTTCTTTGTGATCTAGGCTGAGTTGTTCAACTATTTATTTCCTGGAAGTCAGCAGCATGTTTTTGAGGTCAAGAATGAAAA